GGGATGGCATCCTCTGAGCTTTCCATCTCCAGGCTGGGAGGACGAGACAGGGGCCAGTCGCTTGTCCGTGCAGGCACCGTCTTGCCCAGAAGTGCTCGTGTGCCGCGAGCGGTCGCGTTGATGGAAGGCGTGCAAGTCTGCCGGCCTCTTGCAGCTGCTTTCTGCTCTCTGCCCATGGGCCCATGAAGAAGTGCGGGCTGCTGGGTGACAGCTGTCTATCGCATCGCAACTACTTCATCTGCTAGACTAGCACTAAGTGACAAGGGTGGCAGCAGGTTCTGGCTAAACTGCTTTCACACACTTGGAGTGTCATACATTGGGTGATTTGATGTTAGGGCCGATGTCATTTCGAGTGGTGCAGAAGAAGCGAAGTGCCAAACTGAAAACTCAGTCTTTGTGGTTGGTGGCTATGTGGCCCATATACCCAAAGCTGAAGTTGACACCGCATCATCTCAGGAACCTGGACTGGGTGCGAAGTGTTTTTGCAGAGAGAAGGCTTCGAGGTTCGTGACCTTGGACACGAAGTCCGGAGATTGAGCCGGAAAGTAGACTTCGAGTGCCCTTGTGCAAAAGCAGACAGGCGTGAGGCTCCTGTTGAGTCACGTGTTCGCTTCCAACCGCTGTTTCCAAGCAGAGCAGAGACCTAAGCCATCGAAGATGTTGCCAGACTAGGGGCGGCATAAACAAACGGGCGCGCAAGCGCTCGTACCAACAGTCGCATGCGTGTAACGCTTGCGCGCCGGTTGCTTTAAAAAGCCGATGCGTGCAAGGGGTGTGCGCAACTGTATCGTGAGATCTTATAAAGGCGACGGCGATAACGACGACGACGACAACGACGACGACTACTACTATACTACTACCACTACTACTTGTACAACTGCTACTGCTCCTACTCCTACTCGTAGATCCGAACGCAGCCAAAATCAGTTTTACAAAGCAACACGGGCCCAAAACCCAGCCTTGCTATGGTGCCGTGGTCGCAAATCGCTTTCATTAGTGGAAGAGAATCTCAGCAAACTGGGGTTTCACCCAAAACGCGCAGGGCGCGGGCGCTAGGGCTTAAAGGTTGGAGCAGAGTCAAAGGGCCACGCGCAGTTGGCTCCGCGGAAGCTGCGCGCACCTATAAACGCGCAAGGTTTTGTTAGCGTCTAGAGGATAGAAAGGAGGGCTTGACCACTGCTCTTTTTAAGGCTTGGTGGCCAGAGGGCCGTCTTGTTTCATCGGCTTTGCTGGACTTTGCTGGCCGGGGTTCTGGGCGCGAGACTTGGTAGTCATGATGCTGCAATGAAAAACTCTTTTCGTTCCTGTCGTTTAGAAACTCGTCATGAATCCCTGCGTGCAAGACTGGAGCTTTCGCCAGCCCGTGGCTTTCAAGTCCTTGGTGGCCGGCAGGCACGCGGCCAGCTGCACCGCACCATCACGGCAGCAGCAGTTGCCGCCGAGGACGCTGGGCATGACAGCAGGCTGGACCGGCAAATATTTAATGCTCTCTTGGCAGGAGCTGGAAAAAGACAGGCGAGACGTCCTGGAATTGCTTGCGAGTTTGGGCTGTCGTTACATTCTTGAAGGCTTCGGCTCGCTCAATTCCTTGGCCTGGACCCCGATGTCGACTGCAGATGGGGTCGTGTGAGCCTCGTTTGGTTGTGCAGCGTGTATGGCTGGCGAGGCCATGACATCACCGCATTGAGTGATGTCTTCAGTTTTTTGGCACAGGGCCGCCAGGGCTTCACACTTCCTGATTTCAGGCCAGGACACAAACTCTGTGGAAGGGATGTGTCTTGTGCCTGTCGCAAGGCGTGCCTTGACGCACCTCCAGCTTCGGGCATCAGAGCGTGATCTGTACCTGATCTGGCAGCGATATGCGCAGCCCGGTGATGGGCCGAGACGTGACGGGCGTATGGTGTCGAGCTCGAGCCTTCCAGATGCTATGCTGTGCGTGTCACGCGCTTTTGGTTCAGGGCACGAGCCCCAAAGAGCCTTCAGGTTGAGTCAGCGGTCGTACCATACAGGATAGCCAAGAAGTGATTGCCATAATTTTGAGTGAAGTATCGGGTGGATGGCTGCGGAGCCTCCCCTTGCCGTGCCAGACGTCCTGCTGGCAGTGGACACTTCCTCCTTGAAAGGTGCCGCCAGATTTTGCGATCAGAGTGAAACTTCAGCTGTTCTGAGGTGACTTTCAGGAACAGGGCACTAAACCGGGTATGACGTGGTTTGACCAGGCGAGCAGCCCTTAAGCAAAGGATGGGGTCGGTTGGATGTCAGGCCTGTTGGAGGCCATCCTCGCTCGACTGCGCCTGTCGGAAGCCTCGCTTGCGGAGCTTCAGAACGAACGACAGCTTGACTTGCCGAAGCAGGCGGGTGTGCCGGTATCTCTTTGTGCGGTCGGATAGATTCCTGGAGGGCTTGGTGGCTCGCATCGACAAGTTAGAGCTGGAAGTAGACGCGCTGTTGAATGACGAGATTCCGGGCGCCGATGGAGCTGGCAATTGTCCAAGTCCAAGATCACTCCGTGTCTTCGGCGACAAATTGTGTAGCTCGAAGGCACTCCAAAACAAAGCACCAATGAACAGCACAGCGTGATTGACCTGTGCACGTGAAATGCAAGCAACTGCAAGCACCGTGAAGCAAGGATGGGAGAGCTGCATGAACGATCTTAGTCAGGGCATCAGCCGCTGCGTCACTAGCTTAGCGGTGGATGCTGTGGCAGTGCTGCTGATGGCCTTCAATGACTCCTTTGCTTGCAGGAGGCACGAATCGAAGAAACAGAGGGGTGCATTCGCGAGATGCACGAGGACATGAAAGCTGATCGAGTTGCGATTGGCACCTCCGCTGCTCAACTCTTCCAGGCCACCCAGCAAAATGCACACGACTTTGAGCTTCTTCAAGCTAGACTGAACGCCCGCAACTGAGTCTCTGGAAATCGTCAGAGGACACTGATGGTGCGTCTCCTTACATGCGATTCAGGGCCTTGGACGTTCGGTTGACATGCGGTTTGCGGAGACTGGTGGCAAAGTAGACCAGCTCAGCGAGGCATTGACCGTGGAGAGGCTCTTTCTGTGCTGAGTTGCTTTCGCACTCCAGGTGATGGAGGAGCATGCTTCTGATATCGAGGATCTGTGGCTCGGCCACCACAAGCAGGTCTTTCCGTGCTTCAACCTCAATTGAAAGTCGCGCCTGTTGATCGCAGCTCAGGAAAGTCAAAATGCAAGAAGCTTTCAATTCACTCCAGAAGCTTGACCTCAGCAACATGAAGGAAGAGATGGATGCGGCACTGCGGAAAATGGAGCGGAGGCATGAGCAGGCTGCCGGCATGTGAATGATGCTGTGCGCTTTGTTTGCCAGGCTCTTTGATGAGATGCAGGACACCGTCAAATCGCAGCATGAGGGCCGCCGCCTCCTCCTCCTCCTCCTCCTCCCCCCCATCCTCCTCCTCGTCCTCATCATTGCCAGCGTTGTCCTGATGTCCATGATTGCTGCCATCATCGTCATCATCATCATCCTCATCCTCATTCTCATTCTTATCCTCATTCTCATTCTTATCCTCATCCTCATCCTCATCCTCATCATCATCATCACCATCGCCATCATCATCATCATCATGATCATCGTCATGATCATCGTCATCGTCATCATCATCATCATCATCATCACCATCACCATAATCATCATGATCATCATCGTCATCGCCATCGTCACCGTCGCCATCGTCACCGTCGCCATTGTCGTCACCGTCGTCACCGTCGTCATCGTCATCGTCATCGTCATCGTCATCGTCATCGTCATCGTCATCGTCATCGCCATCATCGTCATTATGGTCATCGTCGGCGTTGTCGTTATCGTCATCATCATCGTCATCGTCGTCGTCATCGAAGTCGTCATCGTCATCGTCATCATCGCCATCGTCATGGTCATCCTCATCACCATCATCATCCTCCTCGTCATCATCGTCATCATACGCATCCTCCTCCCCTCATCATTCTCCTCGTCATCCTCGTCGTCAGCCTCATCATCCTCATCATCATAGTAACCATTATCATCGTCCGCATCATCATCATCATCGTCATCATCATCATCATAATCATAATCATTATCATGGCCATCATCACCATCGTCGTCATCACCGTCACCATCGTCATCGCCATCATCGTCCTGCTCGCCGCCGTCGCCATTTTTTCTTTTCTTCTGTAGTTCTGTAGCATCTTCTTCATCACCATGAACATTACAATCATTACCAAGAAGGAAACCCTGTAGGCATTTAAGTTCCTGTCGAGGGGCCCAACAACCCCTCCTCATGATATACTGTCCCTCATTATTGATATGTGTAGTCGAAGGAGGCTAAGAGGTGATGCCAGGAGGTTAGGACCGAGGTTGGGAGGATTGGAGGTTTGGTAAGACTAGGAGCAGGAGCAGGAGTAGGAGGAGCAGGAGCACGAGTTGTAACAGTAGTGCTAGTCGTAGTGGCAGCAGCTGTGCTAATGGTGGCAAGCAGTAGTCTCACAGTCGTCGTTGAAGCAGTAGTAGCAGAAGTAGAAGTGGAAGTGGAAGCGAAAGCGGCAGCGGAAGTTGAAGCAGGAGCGGAAGCGGAAGCGTAAGGGGAAGTTGAAGTAGAACTAGTAGTAGAAGAAGTCGTAGCAGCAGCAGAAGTAGTAGTAGTAGCAGTAGAAGAAGAAGAAGTAGTAGTAGTAGTAGTTGTAGTCGTAGTCGTAGTCGTAGTCGTAGTCGTAGTAAGTAGTCGTAGTAGTAGTAGTAGTAGTAGTAGTAGTAGTAGTAGTAGTAGTAAAGTGCCACGAGCGGCTCGAACGTAGGAAGGGTTCATGTCGGGGCATACGCTTACTGCTGCTGTACATCTGTTGGTTGAGCTAGTTCTTGAAGACGCTGCAGCAGAGGGGTGCTCACTGACACAACTGCGATATCTCTCATTGCTCTGCACTGCTTACTGGAGCGGCGCGACGATCGGCACCCTACTTGAAGACGCCAGCGCGCTTTTGCCGGAGCGTGAAGCTCAGAGGCTCAGGTTTGTGGTGAGACGGGACTACAATATTCAGACGCAAGCTCAGCCAAGTGAACGGTATTCAACTGCGGCCACTAATCATGCAGACGTTTTACGGCCTCTCTACGAACCCAAATAACTCCACCAAACCAGTGACACATCCAGGAGGTCAGCAAGTAGTACCACAGACGTTTTCAGATGACAGGGATGATGGTGGATTCTTCTCGTCTCGGTCCCAAGTCCGAGCACAGGGACATTCAGTTCGAGGATCAGCTACGTACACATGCCCTGTGGGCACGAGGGTTGGTGGCGGGTCCCTCACCGCGCCGGAACCCACGCATGTGGGGAAGCCGGAGGGAGATGAAGTAGCCACAAGACAATTTTCAAGCATCCGCAAGCGCGCGTACAGGCGCGCGCTGCAGCGTGCTCAGCAGACTGGCTCGACAATGTACAGAGGGCGTCTACTAGCACGACAAGTTCTTCTACCCGTTGTTTCTTCGAGAACGCAAGGAGTAAAACCTAGGGTGGATCTTTTCTCATGGAACGTCGACGGGCTCACGGAAACATTGTTCATTGAGATTCAGAAGTGGGTCAAGGAGAGATCGGAAATCAAGCTGCTAATGCTGCAGGAAACGCACTGGAGTTTCTCAGGAGAATGGGCTCAAGGCGGGTGGAGTTTTGTTCACTCGGCCTCAGGCAGGAAAGGTTCTGGTGGCGTGCTCATTGGGCTTCGATCCTCTTTCTTTCCGAGCTACAGTATAAGGTGGAGTGAGATAGTGCCAGGACATATGCTGCATGTGCGATGCAGTGGACAACAGCAACAGTTCAACTTGCTGAATGTCTATCAGTATGCAATGGGCATTAAAGAGGAGGCATCAGCAGAGCTGTTCAAAAGACGAGCCAGACTTTGGAGCAAGCTGGACCAGTGGTTGGCGTCCACGCCGGTGCGATCGGACCTGGTCGTGGCCGGTGATCTAAATCAGGCGGTGAGGCCAGAAGCTAGAGTATGTGGATATGGGGTTCCTGACCGTGCACTCTCGGACGACGCCAAGCAAGACCAGGAGATTCTGATGCGGCTTCTGTCGAGACACAGACTCTGTATTCTTAATTCTTGGGGCAGGAAATCCATGTCGCATACATACTGTCATCCAAAGAGCAAGACGCAGATTGACTATGTCATTGTGCGACAGGCGGTAGCGGATGCCACCGCGAAGAGCTGTCGGCCTGTGCAGACGGAGATGGCGGGCTGGCGCAAGTCGGGACATCGCATGCTTCTCTGCAGTGTGTCGGCTAGATGGACTCCGTGGAGCAGACCAAAGCAGGACAGGGTCGGTGTGGGGGAAAGAGACACATCTCGGATTTATCAGCTAGATGCAGGTAAGTCTACTGTGCGTGATGTCAGGGATGCTGTACAAGCCGCAGCGTCGCCACCCGAAGCCAAGCCCCAAATGCCGGCCCTTGCTCCGGTTGATCATGCAGTAGACTGCTGTTGGAAGCTGAAGCGTGACATTCTTGCACTGCAGCGCAGACGGCATCAGCATATCATCTCCTTTAGGGTGATCTTTCAAGCATTTCGCAAGCGCGTTGAGTACGACAAAGCACATCGGGCTCTTCGGAAAGCGCTACGAGAGCGAAAGCGCCAACGGCTGCTTGAGCTTCTGGACAGGGCGGAGCAGGCCGCTGCCAAGGGAGATTCCAAGACGTTGTTTGGTACTCTGAAGCTGGTATGTCCAAACCGGAACACACAAAGAATCAAGCTCCGCACACCAGAGGGCTGGATAGTAAGCGCGCAAGCTGAGTGTGATATGCTTGTTGACTATGCCAAGCGTCTCTTCGATGGACATGGGATTCCGGAGGCTCATCTTTGGCCCCTTCCGAGCTGGATGTTTGCAGAGGAACGCTGGCTCAACGCCATGGCAGAGATCAAGGCGGGCAAAGCGGTTCCACAAGGGCAATCCCCGATAGATACCTGGAAGTCTCATTCGGCCCCGTTGGCGAAACTTTTGAGCTCCCTGGCTAGTGCTCACTTATGTGTCAATAGGCCGAGGATTCCTCTTGAGTGGTGTGTCGTTCAGCTGGCTTGGTTGCCCAAACCAAACAAGAGCCCATGCACTCCCAAAAATCTGCGTAGCATTGGACTGATGGCAGCAGACACCAAATTGTTTATGACGGTGATCAAGCATCTCATTCTCCCACAAGTCAGCGAGACACTCTTTGACATTCCGCAGTTTGCGTACCGGCAGAACGCGGGCACGCATGATGCTCTTCTACGGGGGGGATGGCATTGCGCTCAGATTCGTGAATCACTGGAGCGGGTGCGCACGGATCATGTCTCTAAGCTGCTGGGACTTGATGATTCTCGTGTTCGGGGAGGCATGATGATTAGCTTGGACTTAGCCAAAGCTTTTGACTCCTTGACCTATCAAGAGATGTTTGACTGTTTGAGGGAGTGTGGGATTGCAGATGAATTGGCCTGGCTGATCGTTGAGATACATCGACAAACAATCTGCGTCATACGCCATGCTGGACACGAAGGTCAGACCCGAATGCTTCGTGGACTCCGTCAGGGTTGCCCAGCAGCACCTTTCATCTTTGCAGCGTGGACATGCAGGATCGGTAGGTGCTTAGGGATCGAGTGGTGTCAGGATCATTTGAGTTTCTTTGCAGATGATGTTCACGCGTATTGGTCCATACTTGATGCAGCGTCCTTTCAGAGCGCTTGGGCAGACGCGGCCCGCATCATCAACACCCTGTCTTCCAAGCATATGCAGGTCAACCTGGAAAAATCGGCGGCTGTGAATGCTTCTACGAGGTCGAGAGGCCACCGACTTGAAGAAGAAGTACACACGATGGCAGGATGGACTGTATTGGCTTAAAGTAGGAGTACATGTACACAGCAGCAAAGACATCTACTTGCCCTTGCAGACCTCTCTCGATTACCTTGGCGTCACATTGTCATATGGTGCTTTTGAACAGCAAACCCTACGCAAGCGTTCAGCGCAGGCTTGGACAACATTTCATCGTCTACGACCGGTGCTCCGCTCACAAGGTCCATTAAGCATGCATCATCGTGTTCGGCTTTTTCGAACATTCGTGCTATCAACGCTGTACTATGGCCTGGTATATGTTGGGGTCACTGATGTTGTGTACAGGGGTCTTATTTCTCTCTTGGCCCAGATGCTTCGCAAAGTTCTCCGGGTCTACGAGCACGGGATTACAAATCAGCAGGTCCTGCAGCGCGCTCAGATTGATCCAGCGCAAACTCTTATACAGGACCTACAGAGACGCACTATGTCAATCACAGCAGATCAGTTGCGTTGCAGTGCCCTGCGAGACAGTGCATTGAGCCGATTGTCCATGTTACAGCAGAGTGCCACGAAGGCGATCAACAACATCCACTTCAAGCTGGTCGAGGTTGACTCGGTGGCGGATGCCGTCTCCTGCTCAGTATGTGGCGTTTCCTTTCCTTCGCAGGAGGCACTAAACGCGCACTATTCCGCAAGGCACCCGGAGATCCATAAGCTCTCCAGGATCACCTTTGACAGGCTCAATCATGCATTGTTCGGGGTGCCGATCTGCAGACTATGTCGATGTCAACAGTATGATTGGATCAGCCTGGAAAGGCACATCACAGAGGGGCGATGTGCCAGATTGAAACAGGCGGCAGCCTCAAACATCTCAGAAGCACAGCTTATGATTGACATCGCCTCTGAAGAAGCACGGGATCCACCAACACCACCGGAGCAGCTTCAAGTTCAGGTACCATTTCCACAGCAGCATCTCGAAGTTCTACAGGCAGAGCTGCATGATCTACCGACATATGTATCGGCCATTTCCTCGTTAAAAACCAGATGCTCCTTGTGTAATCAGCAATTTCGTTCTGGTCTTCGCATCAAGGTACACTGGCAACAGATACATCCGGAAGAATGGAGGCTGGTACAAACGCAAACACACTCAGCGCTCCAAAGCCTCACGCCTGTTTTCAGGCGGCCATGTCAGTTCTGCGACAGTCGCGCAGCGGCTGGGAGCACAGT